CAAGGTGTGAAAAGGGAACCTGGTCGAGAAACTCTTTCTCTCCAAACATGAACAGTGAAAATTTTTCATAGGGGAAAGGTACGATATCGGTCTTTTTTGGACCGGCTACTTCGTCATCTCATTTGAAACACAGAGACCCTATTGGGGAAAACACAAAGAATAACTTTTATTACATGCTACACGCATGTGAAAACATCAACAAGTCTAAAAAAGAATAATAGGATAAAACGATGAAAACGAAATTCTTGACAACATAGGCGAACGAAACCAATTGAAAAAAAACACACTAGAATGTTACTGAACGGAATTTAGATAATGAGATACCTTGGTTTTGAATGCAGAAAAGAAGCCTGGTATTTGAACTTTTTTGCTCATTTTCAAGTACTCCATACCCGCTCGGAACGTAAAGAACCTGCGCCCGAACGAAGAACGCGGCTGTCGAAAAGTAAGCTTGAACCTCTATTGAGAATAAGAAAAGAAAATTGAACCGCTCAATATTACAGTGTGTCCCATAAATATTGCACCACATTTTGAGCTTAAATTCTGTGGGTGTTTATAGCTTTTCCTCCGAGATTGATTAATCTATCCTCTTGTGAATGACCATGCCAAATTCCACGGCTTACCGTTCGGCCTGCATCTCATGGTGCGCCTAAACTTCACAGAGTGCCTAATCTTTCACACAGCTAGGTCGGACATCCGGTAATAAACATCGCACTTTCTTGAAACCTTACCGCTCCGTGGCCTACCGCGCGTTGTAGAGAAGGGCCATAAATGTAGGCTCCGTTGCAGCCACGCAGTAAGTTCTGCCATCTTGGTCTCAGGAAAAGCATGAAGAAGCGGACCGACTGCAATACCGGGTTCGCTTGAGAAAGGTGACCAGAACGCTGAAGTTTTCAAACACAATCATGTGGAGAGTGGTCATATAACAACTGCTCACAGTCCATTATAAGTTGCATAAGCACCACTGCTCAATCGAACGGGAGGAGCACAGCAGAGACAAAAAGTTCAAAGAGCTGGTGTCGAGGGCCAAAAATGGTCATTGCGTGAGCATCATTTTCTTCGAGGGCAAAATTCCTACTGTGAGTAAAGTCACAATCTCGAAACTTCAAGGATGTTCCCATGAGTTCCTGAGAAAGCCAAGAGAAAAGGAAGGAAGATTAGCTCCAAGCAGCAGCGAACCTTATCATGAGATTGACAGGGTCTCAACTACCGGTCGCTAACCACCACTGCCTGTTTGAAAAGGAATACAACACGATACTAGACCTAGCCAAGGGACATTTTGGTGCACCATCTGTTACTGAGGTATCTAGCCACTTTGAGGAATGATGATCTTTTCAATAGGACCCAGCTTCTGCATAGGAGGCAAAAATTGTTCAGGAGCGCTGTTAAGGCACTCTTTCCGATTTCACATCCTCGAACGAATGGCTCTCCTATCCCTTGATTTCAGCGTGCTGGACCATCCTATGTGGGCTATGTTAGGGGGCAGAGCCTGCACTAAACATTGCATCCACATGGATGAGCCGGAGCCTTTTCTCTGCAAAGTTTGAAAGAGAACACCCCAGGATGCCATGCGGGCCACAGTAGAGTTGCGTTCGAAGCAATTGGGAGCCATACTCACAACAACAGGGAGCATATCCAATGAATGTCATTCCTTTCAATATGTAAATGTATTGCTAAAATTTTTAAACCTCTTGAAGATACATCCATTTTGAAAGAAGTTACAAGTAAGAAAAATGGTGCAATATTTACGGGACACCCTGTAATGTCTGAGTTGTTGACTCCTTCGATCTGAGGCACCATGTCGATAGGTGGCAGCCTATAAGGAATAGTAACTTGGTAGCCGGCCATTGTAATGAGATGTATGATCCTAATCGTGCCTCGAGACGCTGATTTCAAATCATCTTGAGCTATCTGTAGAACGATTTCTGAAAGAAGTTATCAAGCAGGAAAGCGCTGTGGTAATGATCTTGACCTATACGCAAGTGTCGTAAGGTCAACTCCAGTGCGAGTCCACTTTTTGCTCTTTTCAGAATGTAGCTAGGGAGCATATCTCTGAAATGAGCAAAAGATTGGACTTGCATTGGAATCGATCTGAAGATATCTTGCCTTGATGTCTTGTGAATCAAGGTCACTACCACTGCGCTTTGCTCTTTCATAACTTCTTCCAGGAAATCGTTCCGCCGATAATGAAAGTAGATCTGAACTCAGCGTTTGAAAGAACATACATAATTATGTATTTTATTTCAAGATAGCCGGACTGAAGAATTGTCCTTTCCTTGTCAAACTGCATTACATAGCAAGTTGTGTTGTGTGCCGATCAGCGGAGGGAATCCGAAAAAGGGATTGTGCTCGTTTTCGTCACAAGGCTTGTACGCTCTGTTTCCACCCTAAGTCAGCACACCATCCCCTTTGCAGCTTTGTCGATTCGGCTCATGGGTTTGGATAAATAAATACATTGCATCACAACGACTGGACATTGCGTCCTGCTGTCGATCCCCGCTATGTATTAAAGCAACTCTGTGGCTCAGCTTGGAGTTATTGCAGTACTCCAACCAAAAATGATCAATAGTGAACAAATAATCTCCTTAATAATATTTATTTTCAGTCGTGCGAGAAACGAAACGCCTACATTGCCACACAGGCGCCGTTACCGTCAACGTTTGCCGATTTCTGGGAGATGATTTGGCAAGAGCGCTGTAATATCATTGTGGTCATCACCAATATGATTGAGGATGGAAGGGTACGCAACTCGGTCTCATTGCAATACATCAAAACTGAAGCAGTCGTTTTAGCGGAAATGCGACCAGTACTGGCCAAGCTCACCAAATACTCCTCAAACCTCATGGGTCCTACCAAATAAGTCTTGTCAGCGAAGTCTCAAACACACATTTTGTTCACCGAATTCTTAGCCTTAGAATAGCCAAATGCGTACCACCGGTGAGTATATATGGCGATCATCATGATAACTTAATCTGACTCGTGCTGTCCTTTCCAGACGGAGCGACGAGTCCATCAGTTGCACTTCAAAGGTTGGCCCGACCACGGCGTTCCAGATACAGTATTTCCACTTCTTACCTTCATGCACTACGTAGCCGAGATTCATTCAACAGGACCGATAGTTGTGCACTGCAGGTACTAGGATTCAAAAGAAGCTGCTTCCTCTGTTTTGCTATACACAACAGTTTCAGTGCCGGTGTTGGACGATCTGGTTCCTATATTTTGGTTGACAGCATGCGACGTCATCTGATCAGTTTCCGCAAGTTAAACCTTATGGGACATCTCATTCATATGCGAAGGCAAAGAGAGAAACTCGTCCAGACAGTGGTCAGTAACGGTTTTCATCGTGGATTCATCACAATCATTAATTTGCTAATGTTTTCTTTAGAGATAGCTTAAACTCTGAACACCCTCTTCATATTTCTACTGATCAAAAGAGTGTCACGAGTTACATATATTCTCGATTTTTCCACCTCTGAGATTTGCAAAACGCAAGAAAAATCCATCGCGCATTGCAGGAGATCTGGAACTTACCGATTTTTCAACTTTCGGCAATAGCACTGTTAAGGCATGAATCCTGGATGGATTTGCAAATTGCTGGTCGTATCCACATATTTCTTGAAGGATAAAGGAGCCCAGCCTGTCATTACGTTGTCGAAAATCCTTTTGTTAGAGGTCAACTAGCGTACCCACTTTTAGAGCATGATTTATTTAGAGGTTACTCTACAAATTAAGACATCACCCACTCATCAAAACAAGGCTGTTATTATGCGTTCACCTGCATGGTTCCCCAGTATGTTTCCTAGTAGCACCATAGTAAGAGGATTTAATGGGTAACGATCAGTGTGCGTTTTCTTAAAAAGTAAAAAAATAGGTTTTCCCCTGACTGGGAAAGGCATTCAACTTCCCATGGAACTTTTAGTCGAGACCCAGATATATCGATAGAGCTTCAAATGCTGATTACAAATATGGAAACTAAAACTGCAAAATGAAACCTGCCAAGAAGTTGTGAGCAGTCAAAATTGGCTAGAAATAAAGCGCTACTGCGACAGTGCTAGCCTCTGTGCTCGCTGTGGGATAGAGTTAGTGCTCTCATTATTCGCATTCCGACTCGAAAAGGGCTCATGACCTTCCGGGTGAAGAGCGAGGGCACTACCACTACTCCGCGGCGACTCTGAAAGCCTGGGATCCAGCACGGTTCATATGCAACGCTTTACTTTAGCCAACTTTGACTGCTCACAACTTCCTTGGCAGGTTCATTTTGCAGTTTTAGTTTCCATATTTGTAATCAGCGTTTCTATCGATATATCTGGGTCTCAATTCAAAGTTCCATGGGAAGTTCGAATGCCTTCCCTGGTGGGTGCTCGGATTCTGGGCAGGGTGAATGACGGTCGAGGAAATCCTCGACCATAGCTTTCTACCATGCGAGAGTAGGAGGTAAGCAAACCAGCCCTTTTGGCGTTTCGGCTGGGACCGTATGCTGAATGTTGGGGAGGGGATGGGGTCCCCAACGGTCGACGGTTTACTTCAACTCGGTTGGTACGATAGGAGAGTACTGACGCAAGTGGTGCAGCTGGTCCAGCAGCTCCGCCAGAAGGGCTGGTTTGCTCACCCCAGGACTAAGCCTTGGAGAGGGGACGGACCCGTCCTCTCTTTAAGGCTTAGTTCTGAGGTAAGCACCAAATTGTGGCGGTTCTAAGGACCGAGTTGAAGTGGTCCGTCCACCGTCGGGGACTCCATCCCCTCCCCAACATTCAGCATACGGTCCCAGCCGAAGCGCCAAAAGGGCTGGTTTGCTTACGTCCGAGAGTAGTGCCGAGAGTGAACATCCGCGCGGAGAGCACAGACGGCACGGCATGGCGAGTGTGAATGTCCGCGCGAGAGATCGTCTGATCGGGCAGAGAATCCTCGACGTGCCGTTGAGGAATCCTCAAGCGATATTCACCCTGCTTCTGGGTCGACCCGGTAATAGGGTTTGAAAGCCAGGAGTTGATCAGTCGAGGTAAAGCGCGAATGGCAAATATTCAGAGATCGGTGCGAAATGTGCAGCGAAATAAACATTTCAATAATTGCAAACACTATCATTTTCATCAACAGTAAGTAATACTGGATTATTTGAGGAGCAATACATCCTGTGCCATGAAGCCGTGCGACAGCTCATCCGTCACGGCATCACGCGAGTTCATGCTGACCTCTTCCAAAGGTAATTTTTTGTATTACATGATTTTGATAGATCCATTTTCGTGCTGGGTGCATTACCCTGAAAACAGTAGTTCTCGATCGTGAACGTTCATCGCCCTCAAGCAGAGATATGAACCGATAAGTCCGCTAGTGTTCCACTTAGGATGTGGTGTTTATTTACTGAATGACAGGGGAGGGGGCAATAAAAAGACTCGTAGCCACATTCAATTGGATTCAATCACACATGGCTGAATTGAAACCGAATGCTTCAAACCTAGAATTAAGAGCATATCGCACTTCATAAAAAGTTCATCGCGGCCTTCTTCCGGACGGCATCTGAAAATCCAGAAAGCCCAGGAAAAAATGTGCAGTGGTTGAGCTCAATTTGATCCACGACTGGTGGTGTACCTTGCCACGTTTCCTAAAAAGAGGTGTTCGAGGAAGTTTTATTCAGCGTGTCAACATGCACGTACGGGTAATGATCTCATAAAGAATGGCCTTGGCGACCTGAAAGGCTTTGTTTGTGTGAAGCACGTTTTGGGTAGGAAGGGATTGCATATTATGAGCTTTAGGTTGAAGCATTTACGGTCTTCTTGAGCTCGACTACGATGGCGAAGACGACATATTCTGAATACAGTGAAGGGAGGCTTGTGTCCTCAAGGACATCTTGGGAGCATTTCATGGTAGAATTACCGGAACGTCGGCAATCTTTGCGATGAAAAAATCGCTGACATGCGACAGTGAGGGAGAGGGACAAAATGTCTCCATTTTTTGCCCCCCCCCCCCCCCCCCCCACCCCCTGACCCCTGCATGAAGCGCAACATCATCTCCATCAACACACGCAGCTCTTCCGTCTCCGATATGAAAAAAACGTAAACGCACATGAGTTCCTAATGGATTTGGAGGAGTTCCAATCAATAAGTCAAACAACTTGAATTTCAATCGGCACCTCTGAGGGCTGTTTTCTTTTGCAACAGCTACAACCTGAACACACCGGCTTTGTCAAAATCAGCAAAACTCAGAGACGCGCTAGCAAGGTGTTCATTTTTCGATTACCGAGTTGATAAGTTTTGAGTTACGAGATGCTAGTTGCCCTGATTGAACTTTACAGAACACTTCTTGCCGTTCATTAAAATCATGATCCGAGATGCATGAACTGAATTTGTGTTAAACATCTTCGGAGTGCGAATACTGTGGCAATTTCAGATATCTCAACTACCTCGGTGAAGAGAATGTGAATGGAAAGACTAGAATGCAGATGCAGTATGAGGTAGATTTTTCATATTCCCCTCGTCAGCTAGTGACATGGCCTTAAAGGCAGTGAACACGATGACTGGAAGGCGGAGCAGCTTTACTGACTTCATTGGGCGACACTGGGCGTCGTCAGTGCTGCCTAACTGGATCACTTAGTAATCTTGTGTGTTCACCAACTTTACTAATGCTCAGAAGTGAATTAATATAGCGCATCTGAGCGTTCAATAAGTAGATAAATTAATCAATTAAAAGAAAGGCGTAGGAAGGTGGTTTCAGCTGCACTTTGAGTGCGCTTAGGCTCCCCCATGACGTGCAATAATGCCAGCAAACACTGCTTCGACTTCCACTCTTCTGCCCTCAAACGACAGTCAACAGAGAAATGAGAATACTTCCAAATCGATCAAAAGTTGCAAATGCGTTTTCTAGTATTCGTCTGGGCCCCGGTAGGGAAAAGATCCATTGCGATCCTGAAGCACAAGCTACCGATCGGGGCCTATGAAGGATGAAAGGTACATAGAGCATCCGACTTTGACCAATCCCGTTTCAGATGCGCCATGCGTTCCACTTCCACTCGAAACCATAGTCATTTTGGATCTGGCCTATAAATGGCTTGCGGGGTCAGTCAAGTTAGCGTTATCATCCCGCAGACAAGACTGCACCAATTTACCGACATCAGAGGAATGAAAGGCTCGGTTGGCCCGGGCCACGCACGAGCCAGAATTTGCTTGCCACTAACATTCGCGCCTGATCAAAAACCAATACCATCTAAACTTTAACAGTAACTATGAATCATCATGTGAATGTATTTACCCGATCTCGCAAGCAGCGAGGACCACTTTTAATGATATGTAAGTCGCCATCCTCCAGCGGTATTGCTTTCCTCGTGAACCAAACTACGCATTTGCTTCCCTTCTCTTTCTTCCATAGGGCAAATCTTACTGTCATTGATATGAATTCTGAGTAAGCGTATCCATAAACACGAGTGCGTAGGCGTGCGTATAGGTCATAATTCATTAATATTTCTCGGCATATCATGAAGGCAAAAGTAGGTCATGCAAAAAGTTCAAGAGATTAGACATGCTCCACATAGCACAGAGTGCAATGCGAATCTTTATGGGGTATAGCGAGCAGATGATCCGAAGCAGCAAATTGGCTTACTTGAGCGTTGTCGTGGTGAGAATTCTTAGCGAATGGTCCTCAGGGAATGCGTCGAAATCAACAGGGGTCACTTTAATCGCTCCATTCGACTGTTTCAGGATCTTTGCGAATGTCATCATAATCCTCCGTGTTCTCCACCTGTCGACTATATAACGCTGCCGGTAAGTGCAAATAAAGTCATTGAGATTGAAAACGTCAGAATTTCTTCCTCTCCTAATCTGAATTTTATCTTTTGAGGGTTACCATCGAGCAGATGAATTTCTTGTTGCCAACTGGCCGAAGGAATGTGTGGAATTATGGCAGCTTGTCTGGTCGCATAACTGTCAAACACTGGTGTTATTAGGTAAAAGCGCCTTTCGGTTTTTCAGTTCAATTCTTATTTAACAAAAAGCTCCTGAGATTACCTCTCTGGTTTTGACAAAGTGAACAGGCGAATTAAAGGCAGTTCAGATGTAGGGGGTAAAATGGGCTCCTTAAAGGACGAATTCACGCTGAAAAAGGCAACCCATTTCAAATTAACTTAGGGATGGTGAGTGGTACACGAAAGAAGGAAAACCATGAGAAACGGCCCAGAACCCGAGAAATGGACCCCTTCCTTGCCCGTTGATTTGAGCATTGATGCGACTCTCATCGCTGTGCCCTCTTCAACACTACGCTCTCTCAGCTATCTAATCACTCGCCACGTATTGAACTACGGCGAGTGATCAGATGATCGGTGGGCGGAGATCGCCGGACCCGCCAGCTTTGAGGCATGATAGGTCGCCGAGGTCAAATTTTTCCATGCGAATTGCGCGTCAGTTCGCACCCTCAGGAGGTCCGTGGGTCCCTCAACTAGGTCAGTTTCCCTTTCTTCGACCTTCATTCTAATCGTGAATTCCTCCTTTAAATTTATTGTTCATAACTCGCTCAAGATATTTACCACATCGACGGCAGCTGTTATGCATGCATCTCTGCATCATCTGTTATGATTTTTTATTACCAGTGTTTGTCTCCTCAATAATTTCATTATGGATTAAGTGTAAGGAATGCTTATTGGATTAAAAACCTGGATAGATGAAATATAGCAAGTTTTTGTAAGGACGCGGTGCGCATCCGCGTCACGCTGTCGTCAGTGTGTTCGGCTTTCTCCATCATGACGCTTCCATCGCAGTGACTTCATCAACGGGACTCGTCCATAGTTAACACGTTGACGACATCGCGCGTTTTGTGTTTTTGCACCGCGTGGGACCAGAGCGATTTTGCGAGCGCCGCCGCCGCACACCAAATCCATGATTTTAACACATTGACGACAATGCGAGTTTTGGCTTTTTTGGCCACGTGGGACCGCGGCGATTTTGCGGGCGCGCTCGCCTCAGGTCGTTCAAGCAGATTTTGAGTGATAATACATAAACTAATGATCAATTCAAAACCAGATCAGTAAATTGTAATGA